AGCCTTTTAAGAAAGCAATTAATTGTCCACCTCTTCAAAAGCCAAGAAAATGTTCGTGTTCTTTACCCAGAAATTGCTTCTGGAAATTCATCTTCTTAAGAAATATTGCATTCTATTTATGTTCTATTTCGTTAAAGTTTGAATTATTGCATTTAAGCCTCTCGGACAAATGAGTTTTGCAGTGTAGGTCACAAAGTGTGCTCTAGAACCGCATTTCATAATGTCTTGGAGACCTCCTTTTGTTGACAAAAGTTTAGAGTAAGTATTTGTTGAATGGAGGAAGGGAGGAGGTCACTGGGGTAGAATCACGCCTTGTCAACCTTCCATGGCAATGGTGCCATTCAATGAATATCAATGATGATAGTGAAGATAAAGGATATGTTCTACAAAGGCAAAGCAAGGTAAATTTTAAAGCTTATATTTCAGTATCCTCTTGACTTTGGGAAAGTTTAAGGACCAGCTTTTGAAGCTCTAGATATCAGAAATTGGTATCTAGGTATATCACGGCAATTCACAGGACGTGCACAGGAGTGTGTATGTACCTGCCCCGTGGCTGTGTTTCTAAATGAACTAAAAAAGAAAAAAAAAATCCCCTTTTAAATACCCAGAAGCACTAACCCACATTTTGAACTAATTGACTTACTTTTTCTTAGGAAAGCTTAATTTAACTGATAGGGGCACATGGGTTTATCTTAATATTTAAGGAAGCCCTGGGATGGGTTTGCTCTATTTCTTTAATTTGATGTTGGAGATCCAGGCTTTGCACCTGAAGGAGGAAGACTGCCTTGCAGAGGGGCAGACAAGGGGGAAACGTTATGACCTCGCCCCTGTATTCTGTGATCTAAGTTTGCAGAGCCGTGGCACAGTTGCTCCCAGCAGAACGCTCAGCATTCTTCGTGTTTAGTCTTTCTGCAGTCTGTTCTTTGATTAGGATACCCCGGGGGTCACGTGGTGTCATTACTCCAAATAAAAACAAACTTCCCTGGTGTTGATTGCATCTGTTTGTTTCACAGATCTTTGCTCTCTTTATGACTCATTCCCTTAAATGAAAAAGCCCAAAACAAAAATGTGGCTTATCATTCTCCTCTGATTGTAAAAGCAGTAAGTGTTCTTTGGCAGCGATTCTGAAAAGTACAGCAATCTAGGAGCACACAGATGCATCATGTTTCTGGCTGGTTACTGTGCAATGTATGCTTGCTGTGGGCCTGGTCTTCTAATGTTAGCACTCTCTATTAACGCCTATTCCTACTTCGCGTGAGTAGAAACCCTGAGACCTTAAATAATGCGCCCAACTTCACACAGCTAGTGAAGTTCAACTCCAGAGAACACACACTTTCTGAGCAGTTCACCAGTCCAGGCCCTTTCAGTTCTATTTTCACTGCCTAGAGAAAACCACTTTTAACAGTCGGGTGTATTTCTGTGAATTCAATCACATGTGGTTTACTGTTTAAGTACTACATACGGTATTTTGAAAATCCATAATTCCAAGTATGTAACCAGTGAATTTTTGGCAAACTCCGCCAAGCTCATGGTAAGAGGCAGGAAGGAAAAGAGATGCCCTCCCCAAACTCCCTGATTCTGGGAGGAGCGAACTTTCAATAGGCCCACAGGGTCGGTAGTTTTTCTTTCGTCTTTCTAGTGGTTATCATACTGCAATCTGCCATAGCAGAACACAATAACTCATCCTTCATCCAACTCAGGGAAGTTGAGTTGAACTGTCAGAGTTTGAGGATGAACCATGAACCCCACTTTGGGTCTTTTTTGCTGTCCCAATGACAATACACACAGAATACCGCTCTTATTACTGCCTGTTTGAATTTCAGATTAATATGAGGGTACAAACAATTAGGTTACAATGTTGCATTGGTTAGGTAACTTCCCTGTTGTAGTTGTGTCCCCCAGTGAGGAGGTGTGCTGTATACCCTTACATTGTGCCCATTAGGTGGGGGCACCTCAATCCCCCTCCTCTTCCCTCCTCTCCCCCTTTCCCCTCCCAGGCACAGCTTTTCAACGACAGATCACTGAGATGCCTAGGAAGGTTTTGCTATGGCTGTTGTTCCAGTTCTGTGACATCGTGGTATTGTAAGTGCTTTTTAGACTTTAGCACCATGCTTTAGTGGTCAATGTGCTTTCTAAATTCACTACTCATTTGGCTTTCCTAGAATTGTTGCCTGTTAGACTTAGAGCCTGAGTTGCAGCTTCTTAAACCTCAGAGTGCATCAGAAATCAGAATTAGCTGAGTCACCTGGACAACTTGTTTCAAATACAGATTCCTGGGTGCCAACTCCTGAGATTCTGATTTAGTAGGTCTTGGGTATGGCCCAGGAATGTGCATTTTAAACATACAGTTCCGATAATTCTAATACTAATCTGACCACACTTTGAGACCTTACTACCTCAAAAGCTAATATAATTTATCAAGCAGTAAAATAATGTTCTCTCTCGCCATCATTCTGGGGCAGTGAATTCATTTGAAAAGCGAACGAAAGTTATGAAAGCTGCACACGCATGCCAATTCTGCCTGGCCTTTCACGGGGCCTAGAGAGCCAAGTCTGCATGTTAAGACTCTGCTACCTGGTCTCCAACACCACTTTAATAAACATGCTCCCTGATCAAATCATCCTGATGGCTCCTTTCTTACCTCAGTTCCAAATCCAAACTCCCTATAACCTTGCCCCTGTCTGATTCAGCCAGTCTGGGGTTGGACTGAGAATGTGCACATTTCCAGGTGATTCTCTTGCAGTGGTGAGAACCGCTGGCTTAGGAGAAGGTGGACACACCCTCCACAGGGAAGAATCAGCTTGGGGCTGAGGGCATGGAGCCCAGTGAGGCTCCCAGGACCAATTCAGCAGGCCTGGGGGAGGGTCTTTCATGTAATTGCCACTGGCTGAGCCTATGGTTGGGAGGGGCTGTTAGGAGGCCTGAATCTGAATGGGCCTTCCTCTAAAATACCAGCTTCCTTTGCAACTGGGAAATTCCTTCTCACCCTTCCACCAGTCTAAATTGTCTTGATTCCATGAAGGCTCAGCTCCAAATCCCACTTCTCCACAATGACCTTGCTCTTTAGGCTGCTGCGGCCAGGCCCTTTGCCAGTGCTCTTCATGGGTGTGTGTGCTGCCCTTGGCCCTTTGGTTGTAAGTTGCTGGCTCCCAGGACTGCATGTGGCGTTTCTTCCTTTTACTTGCACCCTTTGGAGTTCCTTTTCTTTAGGAGGCTTCACACTGTACGGTGGTGATTCTCAACACTGGCTCTATCTTAGAATCACTGGGGGAGTTTTTAAAAAATGTTAACACTGCTGAATAATTGGAGAGAGAAATGTCAGCCTTGGCCACTTCTCCCACAAACATCCTTGCCCCCCCCCTAAATATAAGGAAAATACGGAAAAATGCTTTTTTTTTTAAAAAAGGTTTAACCTACGTCTTGGGAGTGTTCATTCTCTCTACTTTTGTGTATGCCAAAGATTCTTACAATAAAAAAAACATGTATCATTGCCAGCTCCCACCCCAGATTTACTAAAAGTAAAGCTCCTGCACCCAGGTCTGAGATCTTGAAAGCCCCTCTCTCTGGTTTTCTTTTTTTTTTTTTTTGAGAC